CCAATCACAGATGCACCTGTTGCATTCCACAGCAGCAGATAATCATTGTTTCCATTTTGTTCCTGAGGTCTCTCATCTTCTCAGGAGGAAAAATCCTAAGGAAAGGATTTTTCATACAAGATGTCTGTGACACAGGGGTGCCCCCGAGCTGCAGGGCAGAGCTGGGAGCAATCCCACTGCCCCCTCCAGCTCCTCACCCTGAACGGGGTTTGCTGCCTCGTTTGGGGTGTCCCGGGCTGGAGGGGGACACAGAGAGGGAGGTTGTGGAGTTTCCCTCCCCAGGGCAGGTTTTCCTGGCTTGCAGGACTTAAAGCCACTCCGGGTAAGTGAGCCGGAAATTCCCTGTCGCTGCAAATCCAAGGAGAAGTGCCAAAGCAGAGCTGAGCCTCTCCAGGAGAGTGGGGGGTGCTTGGCAAGAGCTCGAAAAAGCCCTAAAGAAAGTTAAAGGAGGAAATCCAGCCACTTAAGCATTTTGCTCTTATGAGTTTTGACAGCTGATTTTTTTTTCTCTTTTCTTAATAGCTCAGTCTCAGTGCCTGCTTCTCACCCCCTCCCATCCCTCTGTTCCTTGGGAGCTGCAGTGGTTTCACAGGTGATTAGAAAATGAACAGCTCTGCCCTCTCCAGATTTACTGTTATTAATATAAGCTGGTCTCCCAGAGAACAGGCTGGGAAAGCAGCACAGGCTCCTCTGCAGCACCACAGATGGGAAGGAGAATCCTGGTGCTCTCCATGGCTCTGTACCCTGCGTGGGGTCTGAGGCAGGTTCCTCCTGTGGGGCTGACACATCAGGGACCATCCTAGTAATTACTGTCCTGTTTCTGAGTAGGGGATGTCTGCAAAAATCCTGTTTCTTTGGGGTTTTGGGAGAAGAAAAAACAATTTCTTTGGAGTTTTGGGAGTGTGTGTGTGATGAGACCCCTGGATTGGGCAAGGTGGTGGGGATGGTGTGAGGCCCTCACTGTGTCCCCAGGACAGACCCAGTGCAGGACAGGGATTCTGTCTGCAAGGAAGGAATCACCACTGCTGGTGCTATGCAAATCTCTGTGAAATTAAAAGGTTTTTAATGGCAGAGGAGGAGGTGAGTGATCACTGGAAGTGCTGGTTGTGGCAGTGCAGAGCTGGTTCTGCCACCCTCCTGTACCCAGAGTGTCAAGGCCTGGCAGCTGCAGGGGACACGTCCCATGGTCCTTCCCCAGGGATTTCCTAAAGGGTTGCAGGGGGCTGGGGAAGATGAGGGGGTGCAAAGTGCCCTCTTAGGGTGGAGAATTTTTTCTAGAAGCAAAGAAGGACCTTTTTAGGCACACCGATCCCAGCCCTCCAGAAAACATTGCTTCTGGATGGAAAATAATTTTTTCCACTAGCACTGAGCTGTGTGCTGAGCCCCATCCTTGCTGTCAGTTGAGGCAGTGGGTGCTAAGCTCATCCATGGCTCCCAGGACACCTGCAGCCTTGTCCCTGTGGGACATCCCCTTGTCCCAGACCACTCCTGCAGGGTCTGTCTTTTGGCTGTTTCTGCCTGTGTTTCAGCTGTCTTACAGCATGTTGTGTTGTCCCTGTGCAGGGAGAGCTGACTCTGTTGTCACTTATGGAAGTGCTGCTCCTGTTGCCACTTTGCAGCTTTCTTTCCCTCTGTATGAAACCCCAGGACGCCTGAGGACATCTCCAAAGACGTGTGCTGCAGCAGACCTCTCCTTAGGGGTAGAAACGAGCCAAGGCACAGACTCTCATTTAACAACATGAAAAGGGGCCCTCTTTATTCTTCTTCACAGCTCAGCCATCCTGAGTGACTACAGCAAACTCCTGCTGTTGGCTTCTCTGACAGACTCTGCTGGCTGTTCCTGCTGGAGTATGACTGCAAATGTTTCCTTGGTATGACCAGAGGCTTTTACCTGGTATGACTGTGACTGCAGGCTCTAATTTTATGAGACCCAGACTGACCTCACAGCAGATCTTTTGTAGCAGCAACTCTTTTCCTTGTTTCATTCTTCTTTGTGTCTCTCTGGATTATTCCTTCTTCCTCAGGATCCTCTTCCTCCAGGCTCTGCCTAACCACCCAACCCATCCTTTTATCACCCTTATCTTCATTATTCACAGCTGTGACCATTCAGGACAAGGCTGTTCTTTGGTAATTAATCCAGCTGTGCCTTTCCAGGGGTCAGTCCCTTGTAATCCCTCCTGTTTCACCCCCAGATGTGGCCGCTTTGGGGACTGGACCTGCACCGGGCACGCTGTGACCTGCTCTTCACAGAGGCCATCAACCAGAGGATGCAGGTTCCCCCCAGGCTGAAGGTGGCAGAGAGCTGCAGCCCTGGGGACAGGCCCACAGTGGCAGAGGATGTCCCTGCGTCTTTTAGGATGCACATCCCTGAGAGGATTTCCCTGGCAGGTAAAGCTCTGGGTTGTCTTTTGGGGTGGGGTAAACATCCTAGGGAGCAGAACCCTTTTATAAACCTCCATTTTGTGTGCTTTGCTAGAGGAGAGGGTGGGGGTAGATAATGCAGGCAGTTCTCTTCAGGAATGCAGGGCAGGATGGTGGATGGCTCAGGAGGAGGCAGGAAAAGGTCACCAGCATAGGTCTTATATTCTATCCCCCTACACCTTAATTCCAACAGGTGAGGAGCAAAATGTGGAGGCATCTCCCTCCATGTCTCCTGCAGTTCCCTCTTGGCCTTTGGTAGGGTCCCTGCTTTGGGATGCAGAATGTTTGGCCCTGTCTTTGACAAACAGCTCTGAAACCACGTCTCTGTCCTGAAGCAGTGGCTCTGCCTCTCTGGGCTGCCCAAAAAGCCCAGGGCATGGTGTTCATCTTGCTTGACTCTCCACATGGGTGCATCTCTCTTCCCTCTCCTGAGGCTATTCACGTTGGTGTAATTCTTCCCTCTCTCCTTCCTGCAGAGATTCCAGACACGGGTTTGAGGCCAGTGCTGCTGACCCAGCCAAGGAGGGTGCCCTCTGTGGTGGTGCATGTGTCCCCAGAGCCCTGTGGGGACGTCCCTTTCCTGCCCCCAGCCAGCAGAGCCAGCGCCCAGCGACGCAAGCGAGCGGTACCGTGGGGTCAGGGATGGGTGCTGGGGTGGGGAAGGGGAACAACCCCAAATTCAGGGTTCTCCAGATAGCTGTTATCACCCCAAGGCAGGATTCATCCTCCAGGAGGCCCTAGAGTGAGGGGATGGGGATGGTGGGGTCTCTTTCTGACCCAGAGCCAGTGCACACTTGTGTGCTGTGGGACCTTGATCACATCTCCTGCTGTATTTTGTGGGCAGGGGGCAGGCTAAGGTAGCTGCAGTCCCACCACTGGCTGCTGCTGCTGCTTTTTAAGTCCTGTTTTCCTTCTTGATGAAGTATGTGGCAGAGCTGGTTCATTACAGCAGTGTAAAGGGTTCTGGGGCCAGAGCCAAAAGCAGATTTTAGCCTTGTGTGAGAACCTTTCAAAGAGAGGTCCCAAGCATGGGCAGGCAAAACCTTGATTTGGCTGCTGGAGCTGCTGTTCCTCCTCCTCAAGTGCTTCAACCCTCCTGAAACTGGAGAGCTGATCCTGGATGGGTTAGGTTCAGGGTTTTGGATCTGAAATTGGAGAAATTGGAGAGCTGATCTTGGGTGGGTTAGGTTCAGGGTTTTGGATCTGGCTAGAGTTCGGCTCAGCAGGCTCCTGCTGGAGACCCTCTGTCTGCTCTGGGCATTT